CATAGTACTTGTCTATTTTTTCTCTCCTTGGATTCGGGACTCTCACGTTGCCAAGTTTCCTCGTCACACATTGCCTGTGTGAATACGATTTAACCCATGGAAAATTTAAGGATTGGCAAAAAAAAGTTACTTTCTTTCTTTACCTTGTCATGCATTCTCTCTGGTTCCTTTGAAACTTGACTCATGGTAGGTGTAATTTAAGCATAATTGTTGGTAATGTTGTCACTCATTTGATCTTGTTTTCTAATATGTCGTTCGTATGAATATATAGAAAAGGGGCTTGGGAGGGAAGAGGAGGGTAAATAAAGGGTGAGCACCTAATACTTATCTTTTATGATAGGTGAAAGATTAGGATAGAATCCTCCAGTAGCTCATAATCCTCCACCATATCTACTCATAATGCAACAGCTCATAATTCTCCGCCATATCAGCTCATAATTCCCCGATTATGTCAATCAATAACATAACTATAATCTCATAAGTTTAGGAGGAGCATATATAATCTTCCTTGTTTGGTGATTTACTCTCTATATTTAAACCCTTATACAAGCAATGCCAAAAAGTATACTTTTTCATTTCTTTTATGTGTTCTTAACTATCTTTTATGGTATCAAAGTTGTTTAGACTCTCCTAAGTATTTAAATCCTAGACTCGTCATAATTTCTTGAGTTCTTGTTTCCCTTTTTTCTTTTTCATGGCCAACCCAAACACCTGGATTCTCAACCACTAATCGGATTAGCAATAATACCATCACTATTACTCCCAACCAAACAAGTCTTGTTGTTCTCAACTCAACTCAGCTCCTTGCTAATGTAGCCTCAAACAATTACACATCATGGAAAGCATAGTTTGATGCATTACTCTATGGCTATGATCCGTTTGGCTTCATTGACGAATCCAAGCCTTGTCCATCTAATAAAGTTATTATTAAAGGAAAACAATTTCCAAACACTCGAGTTTGTTATTTGGCATAGAAAAGACAAACTTTTACTACATAGCATATCAATGTCCCTCTCGGACCGAGACCCCTTATCAACTCATCCACAACATCGACTAGAGCCCGGAATTGTCTTTCTAAAACCTATGCTAGCTCATCATCATCTTGCACTATGAGACTAGTAAACCAACTTTCTAATATGAGTCATGGAACTCAAACAATCACTAACTACCTCGGCTCTATTAATGCAATAGCAAATGAACTGGCACTCATTAGATAACTAGTACCATATACTTATCTTATTAACCATGTCATTAATGGCATAGGTCTAGAATTCAAAGAGACTATTACGAGTAATAAGAGCAAGAGACACAATAATTAGTTTTGAAGAACTTCATGATAAACTCAATAAATATGAAGCTCTTCTAAAACACGAGGAAAATAAAGTAAATGAAGGCATGACAATCAATTCAACAAGGTTTAATTAGTTCGGATATATTTCTCATCAAGGCAAGAAAAATGTCTCTCAAAATCGAAACAAGACCAATTAGAACAATAATTAGAGGTCATATAACCTAACCATGTATCATAATACCCACCAATGGAGCTAGTACAGCAAAACCACATCCGTGACATATCAATTATGTGATAAAAAAAGGGCATGTTGCACGAGACTATTACATAGAGAAGTGGATGATGGGCTTACCTATGCCACCTAAAGCCAACCTTACAATAGTAAAAAACAATTGTGAAGCTAAACCAAGTTGGTTCCTCGACACTAGAGCTTCGACCTTGTCACTATCTCAATATTCTCGGCACTCATCGACCTTATGAAGGACTTGATGATATTATTATTGATGATGGTTTAGGTTTACATATAACATACACTAGATATTCTACTTTATCTACTCTCTCTAATTCTCTTTTCTTTCTAATGTTTTATGTGTACCCACCGTGAAGGAACATTTGATTTTAGTATGTCAATTTTATAAAACAAACCATGCTTCAATTGAATTTGACCTTGTCTCTTTTGGTGTAAAAGACCTCACCATGGGGCACCTCTAGCTTATGAGAGGAGTTAGAATAATGTTTATGATTGGTCCAAGCATCAAGAAAACTCAACCAATGATCTCACTATTCCTTAGTCGGGATGTCTCTATAAATAAACTTCCTATGTAATCAAGTCATTCCAAGTTATCTTTTTGTGATTCTTGTTTATGTAGAAAAAGTCACGGATTACCTTTTGGTGTCTTTAGTCTTAAAAATTGATATCCATTGGATTGATTATATATTGATGTTTGGGGTCCATCTCCAATTCGTTCAATGGATGGTTTTTCTTACTATATTATCTTTGTTGATCATTATACTAAATACTCTTGGTTATTTCCCCTAGCACGTAATTCGATGTTTTCAATATCATTCCTAAGTTCAAAATCATCGTTGAAAAGTTTTCCAAATCAACAATAAACACAATCTATTCGATGATGGTATAGAATATGAAGGCCTCAAAGCATTATTTTCTCACTATGGTATTCAAGATCTTATCTCTTCACCCTACACCCTTCAACATATAACCTCTACCGAGTGTTATCCTAGGCACATTGTTAAAATAGGAATTAGTCCGTTACTTCGTTCCACACTACCACTCTCTCTTTGGACATATGTATTTTAAGCATTTGTTTATCTTATCAATCACCTACATACATAAATTCTCAACAATAAGTTACCATTTGAATATCTTTTTCAACAAATTCCAAATTATTCTAAACTCAAAGTCTTTAGATGTTTGTGTTATTCATGGCTTCGACCATACACAAAGTATAAATTAGAACAACGATCTAAACTTTATCTTTTTCCTAGGTACTCTAATATTCATAATTCATATATTTTCTTTGAACCAACCCATCATAAATGTTATTTCTCTAAACATGCTCAATTTGTTAAAGATGGGTTTCCATCTTTACCAAAATTTCATGATAAAGACATTGTCAATGACCATACATTTTCCCAATAGGTAGGGATATCTTCGAATCTCACTTACCTTGTGTTAGTGTAGGTATCCAAGATTCAACCTTTATTAGATGGTTTAATGTATTATAATATTACATTTCTATATTAATAAAAGAATTCTTTCCATTAATTTTTGTTATTTATAATTTAATAGAATTAGATAGAAGTCCATATGATATACATTACATTAATAATTGATCAAAAGATGTGAGACAAACATTAATACACTTAAATGATAGCATTAAACATCATAAGTTGTAATATTGTCGGTAAGACTTGTGAGTGTTATGCTCTTGCTATAAGATAACGAGTAAAAGATCTCACACCTATTAGCATGGTGATGCCAAAGTACGCACTTAGATGATTAATGTTAAAGAAAATATCACTAGACGCGACTCGCCATGAGAACCCATTTAGTTTAGTCTATGAGAATCTCATAGAGATATGTATAACTAGTCCTTTTACTTGAAGTTATCATGGTTATCTCATTAGAATATTGGTGTACTTTGACATTCATTTCGATATGCTTAGTAAAGAGCTACATGTGAATGATTCGTTAGGTATATTAGGAATCTAATAAAGATAGATGGATGATTGAGATAAGACATATCATTCCTTATACGCTAAAGGAGTTATCACATTTCACTTTGATGAGTGGCCGCTCAAGAAATATTTGGCCATAGTATGAGTATACCAATAGAGTATAGGTGGTTTACTTTAGAGCTAAGACATTTAAAAAGCAAAGAAAACTTGTGTGATCATAATCTAACAAACTATAAACTAAGTTCAAGATCACACTATGATAAATTGATATGAGGAATAAATTATATGTTAACCATGCTCGTGAAAGGTAATTGTAAAATAATTAATCCTCTTAAAGAATTGGATAGTCATGATGCCTTACTAAAGGTTAATCTTAATTTATGTATCAAGAGATAAAAGATATGTCTTTTATTATTGATACGTTGCTAGTATATCTAGGAATATATTGATTCATATGCTTAAGTTTAAACATTCATATAATAAAAGAGAAGTAAAGACTTCAAATTTTTTTCCTATTTTGAAAAAACTTTATTATTTTACAAATCAGTTTTCTAATTTGGAAGTCGGTTCTAAATTTGAAAGACATTTACCTAAAAAGAAATTAGTCACCTAATTTAGGTTTAAGGATAATTTGAGAGATTGCTTTCTAATGTAGACCTTCTAAAAATATCTAACCCAATGTATTTAGAAAGTTCAAATGAATTGATAATTAATTGGATAAAAAGATTTTAGGCCAATAGGCTTAATTTAAAAGGCTATAAGATATTTTGATAGAAAGATAAACTTGAACACTATTGGATAAAGTTTAGAGTTTGCAAAGATAAGGTTAGACATAGTCCACATAGGCAACATCTCCTTGACCCGCAAGGAGAAGCTACCGCCCCTTATATAAAGCTAAAAGAGAGAAATTAAGCAATAACATATGATAAAATAAGGAGAAAAAAAGAGAAAATAGTTTTATCTCCCTCAAACTCGTTACCCTCTCTCTCACTCTAGAGTTGGCACAATTACCCTAAAGGATTTCTAGAGACAAATTAACTACATAAAAGGATTGGAGTTAGCACTCTAAGATCCTCGTTACTTTTTGTGTGAGTGTTTGAGCTACATAGATTATCAATAGAGGTTAGAAACTTGGATTATTATCTTTTTGCTTAAATTGATCTCCGTCCTGCTCTCTCACTCTAAGGTTGGCATAAATTACGCTATATGATTTTTAGAGAAAAATTAATTACATAAAAGGATTAGAGCTAGTACTCTAAGATATCCGTTGCTTTTTGTATGGGTGTTTGAGCTACGTAGATTATCAATAGAGGTCAAATACTTAGATGGTTCTCTTTTTGCTTAAATTGATTTTGTGCTACAAGAGGTAATCATTCACCTATATTTATTTTCATATTTATTATGATTAGTTTATTCAACAAGTATGATCTTGAGAATCCAAGATTGTGGAAAAATTATTGTTTATTTTACACTCTTATAGGATGCATGATCTTTCACCTTGATTCTTTGACTAATCATGATCATAGTCACTTATTACCTCAATTCTTACCAAATCCTCCGAGTATCCACCTTAAGTAATACCATATTCTCATCACCTAAAAACAAACCATTAATTTACACTCTAATTCAACTCATCCATACCACCTTATCATACGGACATACTATAACCTTCACTTTCCTCTTATTTTAACACCAATACATTATAAGAATCTTCATTGGTTATAGAACATTTTGAATCAAGATCTTTAAATTACATTATTTTTTCTTCTTCGATAAACCAAAGTGCTTCCAGGTACGATTCTATCTCACATACTTCTTCTTCATTACTTAGCCATTCTAACACACCCCATAGTCACACGAGCTCAAAGCAATATCTTCAAACCATAGACCAAACTTTCCCTCACTACCACTAAACATCCTCTCCTACCTTTCCTTAAACAAAAAAAATGTTACATAAACCTTACAAAACTCCAAATGGCATGATGCTATGAATGATAAGCTTAATGCCAAATTAATCCATAATGAAACATGTGAATTAGTTCCAAGGCATTTCTTTAAAAACATTATTGGTTGTAAGTAGATTTTCTAAATTAAAAGCACTCTAATGGATTTATCAATCATTATAAAGCTCATCTAGTCACTAATGGTTTTCATCAATGCCCTATCATTGACTATCATGAGACTTGTAGTTTGGTTACTAAACCCACAACAATATGGGTTAGACTTACAATTGCCATATCTCATGGTTGGCCTATTCATCAACTTGATGTTCATAATGCCTTTCTTCATGGCTCACTCTCTAAGGAAGTGTTTATGTCTCAACCATTAAGCTTGGTTAATAAGATCATAACTAATCATGTGTCCCACCTTCATCACTAACTCTATGGTCTTAAACAAGCACCATGTGCTTTGTTTCAAGGAGTTAAGGGATTTCTTCTTTCTCTTGGATTTCTACACTCTAAATCTGATTCTTCTCTTTTTAATTATAGTGTTTCCTTTCTCATAGTTTACTTCTTGGTTTATGTTAATGATTTTCTAATTATATGGAGCTCTTAATCCTTTATTCATCATGTCACTACTACTCTTACTAGTAGATTCTCTATCGAACCTCAATCACCTCTATTATTTCTTTGGAGTTGAGGTTATTTCCAATACTCAAGGTCTATTCCTTTCTCAATAGTAATACATTTGAGATTTGTTTAATTGATTCACAATAAAGGGCATGAATAAAGCCACCACCCTAATGAGCTCTTCCATGAAGCTTGCTCTTAGTGATGGCACTACTGCAACTAATGGCACCTAATTTTGAAGCCTATTTAGAGGCATGCAATACTTAGCCTTGAGCAATGCAAACATTTCTTGTGTAGTCAATAAGCTTACAAAGTTTATGCATGCCCCTAGTGAAACTCATTGGATAGCTATAAGAAGATTGCTTCATTACCTCAAACATACCATTTATTTTAGTTTGACCCTTTATTATGCACAACCTATGCATCTTACTACTTACTCTAATGTTGATTGGGCTGGCAATAGAGATGATTGCACTTTTATATTAGTTATATTATCTTTCTAAGTTCTAACCCAATACCATGGTTTTCTAAAAAACAATGTATAGTTGTTTGATCATTTACTTGAAGTTGAATATTGCTCCATTGCCTCTGTCGCTATCGAGCATACTTGGGTTAGCAAGCTTCAACTAAACTTCAACTCCTTGTTCGACTAACTCCATATCTTTTATATGATAATCTTGGTGCAACTTACCTTTGTGCATGATGAGTGCATAATTAACATGATTTTTATACTCTATTATATTAAACTTTCTAATACTTATTGTATTATATTATATTATTTAAGAACAAGATAAAGGTTTTGAGTTTTGTAGGAACAAACGATGAATTGAAATAAGCAAACCACAAAACCTAAGAAGAAAATAGATAAACTTTAAAAAGGCTTAAAAGAGTCATAAGGTCATGTGAAATAATAAAAGAAATAGCTATCGGTTGTTTGACTTGAAGGAGGAAACCGTATGGAGTCTCAAACGTAGCAAATCACACTGGCGGAATCATTCCCAAGTAGCTAGAGGAAGCATTCCACACGATCGTGTGGTTGATTAAGCCCAAGCAACACTCGAGGGAAGAAGAAGATCATATGTGCGGTAGGCTCTTTACACGGTTGCGGTGTAAAGCTACACGTTCATGTGGCTAAGGAAGAGAAGGTATACACGGGCGAAGGCTTTTTATACATGATAAAGAATAAAGTTACATGATCGTGTGAAACTTAATTTTCAAGGCTTTGAATCATGTGATATAAAGCAACAATCCATGTGACTTAACATATCAAGGCATGTAACAATGTAATGCCGACATAAAACGTGATATCCAAGTTTTGGGTATAAATAATAAAGCTAGGGTATTATTTGTCTCTCTTCCAAGCTAGCTCTTCTATAACCACTATTAATAGAGATTCTCTTTGCATTACATTATGAATAACTAAACTTTATTCTTGGTTAAATCAAGTTAAAGCTTTTGGTTAATCGTTGTGAGATTATTGGTTTTATTTCTAAACTTATCTCTATTGGGTATTTTATGTATTTCTACATAATTGATTCATAGTTATATGATTAGTTCAATTAGAGTACATGCTAGTTGTTTGTTCATATTGCTTATTGCTAGCTAAGTATTCAAGTTCGAGTAATTATTTGTCTAAACTTGCTCGTGGTAGTAACTAGGGGTTGACGATTAGTGATGTTTTTATTCAATTCTTTGAAAAATATAGAACTACGTTATATCTCCTCTAACGCTTAGGAAGGTGGCTTAACTTCACCTATCTTTTTCATCTTAATATTGTTATTGGATTAAATCTATCTAGATTTAGTAGGTTTTTAAATAGCTAGTGAATTAATTGAATATCATATATTCAATTAATGACTAGGTAAGAAAAGATTGAAGTCAACATACATGTTGTTGTCTTGCGGTGAATAGTCATGTTAAGATGAATTAACTATTTAATTAATGATCGGAGACCAAACAAAAAGTGGATACTAAATTTCAATTAAAAAAAATTACATACTATTATTTCTTACTACTTTACATTATTTTCAAGCATCTCAAACACACAAACCCTCATTTACATATAAAAATGCCTAAAGCAATCGATCGATTCCCTTTTCCTGTGAATTCGATCCTTACTTGCTCGATTACATAACTATAATTAAAAGCTCTATAAGGACACATTATAAATTACTAATTTGTTGGCATGACGATATGCTATCAATACAAACCTTGTTTTTCACTCACGGATGAAGCATATCGCACTTGGACTATCACTTTGTATGTGGAAAAGTCACCGTTGGTTCTCTTTAATTCTCTTATGTCTCCATTGTTAATCATCACGCCGATACTCTTACCAAGCCCTTGTGAAAATCTCGCTTCACTATGCTTCGTTCCAAGATCGGTGTCATCGATGATAACACCATCTTGCGGATGCATATTAGGATAGAATCCTCCAGCGAACTCATAATCCTCCACCATATCCGTTCATAATTTCCCGATTATGTCAATCAATAACATAATTGTAATCCCATAAGTTTAGGAGCGGTATATGTAACTTCCTTATTTAGTGATTTACTCTCTATATTTAAACCCTTGTACAACAACATCACAAGATATACTTTCCACCATTTCTATGTGTTCTTATCTATCTTTTAGAAAGGAATATTTTAGGGAAACATTGGAGAAAATGTAAGAATTAAGCTTTTTTTTGCTTCCCTTATTTTTCTAGTTTAGGGATTTTTATATTTGGAGGACATTGAAACATTTCATAAATTCTTCAATATTAATCTTCTTCTTTAAAAAATGATCCCAAAGAAACTCTGGTGTAGGGATTTTTGTATTTGGAGAACATTGAAACATTTCATAAATTCTTCATTATTAATCTTCTTCTTTAAAAATAGATCCCAAAGAAACTCGAAGAGTTCATCCCCCTCGTTATCTTATTTTTCCTCAAAGTTCTCTAATATATTCAAACATAATAAAACAAATTTAGAATTAAATCACACCCTGGCAAAAAAGTAAATGGATAAATAATTAAGAGAAAAGTCATTAAATATTATTTAATCTAATCGGTGGACTAGATGATTCATGAGAAATTACGTTCTCGTGACCATCATGCATGGGTTTTAGATAATTTAAACCTTGCCTTAAAAACCTGTTGCCTCATTTCGTAGGATTTATCATGGAATCTAAATGCTAGATTCACTTGGAGTGATAAAATAAAACAATCATTGTTCAATAATTAAACTCCGCCAATTACCAAGAAGAAAGATGGATAAGGTTAAAAAAAGTTAATAAAAGTTATGTTAACATAAAAGTCGCACGAAAGCTCAACATTTCCATACTTTACTGGTAAGGTTTTAGATGATAAAAAAAATACTAGAAACTAGTCAAAACAGTTTTGATCTCGACTGCCAGTCTGATATATATATATATATATATATTCTAAACCCTTAATTTACTCTTAAAGAAGAATCACTATTCACTAGGTAGCTAAGGTTTAACCAAGCAAGCCATGACATTGTTTTTATTTTTTTTGGGATATAAAAGTTCAAATGATTAGCTGATTATTTAATTATACAATTTGTAAACTAAACATGTGCTTCTGTGTGTTAGAGAGACAGAGAGTGACCCATATCCGAGGATGGGTCCATGAAAGCTCTCCCATCTCTGATATATTACACAATCTACACCTCTCATTCTCTCTCTCTCTCTCTCTCTCTCTCAGCCTAAAATCGCTGTCGTTCAGTCCCTGAACCCATCACCACCTCTATGTCCTCTTCCTAGCTATAAACTGTCACCTTGAATTACTCATGAAGATCAGTCAGACCATATAATTCTACCTCACTACCCCTTAAATTCTGGCATAGAGAAATCCACAGTAAGGCAAAAACTGTATCCATATATAAATATATAATTTATGAAAGATCCTTTGCACTGAGTGATCATCATCATCATCACATGGCATTCCCTCCTCATCATGGTTTTATGTTCCATTCCCTTGAAGACAATGACCACCTTCCATCTCCCTCTTCTCTCAACTCTCTTCCCTCCTGCCCTCCGCAGCTTTTTCCTGGTCTCTCTCTTTCTCCATCTATATTTGTTTAAATATTATTTATTATGTATGATTTGAGTTTGATGTTTTTGGGTTTATAATATTTATTGGTGCAGGAAGTGGAGGGCATTTCTTGATGAAGAGATCGATGTCCTTTTCTGCAATGGAAAAATGTGAAGAAGTAGGGCATGGAGAAGATGACTTGTCTGATGATGGATCACAGATAGGGGAGAAAAAGAAGAGGCTCAACTTGGAGCAGGTTAAGGCACTTGAGAAGAGCTTTGAGTTGGGAAACAAGCTTGAACCTGAGAGAAAAATGCAGTTGGCCAAGGCTTTGGGTTTGCAGCCAAGGCAGATAGCTATTTGGTTTCAAAACAGGAGGGCTAGATGGAAGACTAAGCAGTTAGAGAAAGACTATGAGATCTTGAAGAAACAGTTTGATGCCCTTAAGGCTGATAATGATGCCCTTCAAGCCCAGAACAAGAAACTTCATGCAGAGGTAATGATTTCTATTAATCTACGATGACAAAGTGATCAACTTACTTCGTATCTGTATTGTTTCTGCTTGCTTAATTAGCTAGGTGATATAGTATTTGCCTATTTGGTTTAGATTAGGAAAGGAATACTGACAATATTTGATCTGAGCATGTTTAATTAATGTTTTCCCAATTAAAGTTCAGATTATAATTGGACATTGCACAGAAGTTGAAACTACCCGTCTCTCTCTTCTCTTTGATTTTTTGGACAAGTGTTTGATCCATTCTTTACCTGTTAGAAGTTTTGAGAATGGCAACCTGCTAAGAACACAATTATGTTCATGTTCTGGGACATATAAGCTTACCTTTCTAGGAATTGATTGATCATATATTACCTTGGCTATTCCATTATTCTATTGGCTCAGTTTTTTATTCAAGAAGAATAATGACTTTCAGAAAATTCATAGCATTTCATTTACTTTGACACTAGATTAGCTTATCATGGATATCTTTTCTACAACCAGTATATGAACCACTTGGCAAAAGTTAAAGCCAATTTAATTGCACTACTTACTTTCCAGTTGACATATATATATATATATATATATATATATATATATATATATATTAAAAATTTAAACCAATATATCTTCATGTTCTAAAAGAACAAGCATCAAGCTGTATTTTAATGGTTCCATCTCTTCATATGCATATTCTTAAGTCTTGATTGGTTCAAATACTGCAGCTATTTTCTCTAAAAGGTAGAGATTCAAATGAAGTTAATCCCAAGAAAGAAACTGAGGGTTCTTGGAGTAATGGAAGTGAAAACAGTTGCGATGTCAACTTAGATGTCTCAAGAACTCCAGCAGCAACAAGTCCAGTAACATCCCAACTGACTACTAAACATCTCTTCTCCACATCCATCAAGCCTGCAAGCATGACTCAACTTCTCCAAGGTTCATCAAGATCAGACCTTCAATGCTTGAAAGTTGATCAATTGGTTCATCAAGATGAAAACTTCTGCAGCATGTTCAATGGCATAGAGGAGCAGCAAGGATTTTGGCCATGGCCTGAGCAACAGCATGCTACATTTTCATTGAACCAAGCCCAGTTCTCCAATAATTAGCTCATGACCATTTTGTGGCTTGGTTATGGCTAAATGACACCAAGAAGAAAATTAGGATTTTTTTCCCCACCAATTCAAGTTCATCATCTTTTGTTTGTTGATTGGTGTATAGATGTGGAACAAATTTGTTTCAATATCAATTTGCCCTGAAAATCAGTATGGAGAATCTGATAGTTCTGAATGATAAAATTTCCTTCCAATACCTCTTTTCTTTTTCCTAATTTTTTATATATTATTAATTCCTTAAGTTGGATTATAGTAGAGAGAAAAACAAATAAATAAATAACAACATTTGTTAGTTCAGGTACATGTGCTAGCAAGTGGGTTTCCAGCTCTGGCATGTAAGAATGTGCCATGAAATAAAATTAGATTCTCTCCTTGCATTTCTCTGTTTTTTTTTTAAAAAAAAAAAAATTGCTGTTGGTGTTTTGAATTCATAAACTTTGCAGCGTGTAAAATTGCATGGATGGCTTTGAGAATGTTTTAGTGGGAAGGAGAAGAAGTAGTGAGGTTAGCATGGATGGCTAGATTGGACTTGGACTGAAATTGAAGAGGATTAATTTGAAGGAAAATTTTTGATAGATAAGTCGGTGAGGAAAAAAAGAAGAAAAACAAGAGGATGGAAAGGAAAGTAGATTCTAAGCACACAATCCAAGAGGAAAGAAGCCAAGGAGAACGAAAAGAAGGGAACAAATAGAGAGGGTTAGGAAATGGTCATTTGGTTTCATTTGTTTTTGAGGGGCCCTTCGTATATTTTCATCTCAAAGTAAAATATAAATTAGTCCCTCTTATTTTCCAAAACAAATTATTTAATTTTTTTAAAAAAATTAATAATTTAGTTTTTTATATTTTAATTTTATTAATAATTTAATTTTTTATTAGTTTTTCGTTAAATTAATGATGAAGTGTCTATTATAGTATTTTTTATTCTATAATTGCTCTTTTTTCTATATTCTTTTTATTTATTTATTTATTTGTTTCTCTCTCTTTAAGCATTATCTTATTGAAAATGGTTGAGGAGACAAAAAAATAATAATCATATTGGTTGACGAAAGAGAAATTGATTGAAAAAATTAAGAAAAAAATCATCAAAATAGTTGAAGAAAGAGAAAAAAAGTGAGTGAATGAAAGATAAAGCATTAAAAAAAATTAAAATGAAAATACCGTAATAAGATAATTCATCACTAATGTAAAAAAATTAATAAAAAACTAAATTATTGATAAAATTAAAATATAAAAAAATAAATAATTAGTTTTTTAAAAAATATTAATTAACTAATTTTTTTAAATGAGAGGAACGAATTTATAATTTATTCTTTCATCTTACAAGAGAAAGTATCTAACTGTGCATGATCTTCTGTACCTATCCATGTGACCTACTGTCACTACTTCCCCATCATACAGCACTGGAACAGCGCCACCGTCTCTCTCTCTCTCGAAATTGTTTTTAATTCTTTTCGTCTAAAATTGAACATGATTCTAATTTGTTGAAGAAACTTTACGGTGGACTTTTATGAACAGATAAGATAAAAGACTTGAGGTGAAAACTATAGTTTACTGATGATGGATTTACTAAAAAGTTCAGGTGTTTTCTTTTCTTTTCTTTTTTCCTTTTTTTTATTATTATTTCTAGAAGGTAAGTTTATATTATCATTCGGAGGTTCTAATTTCAGAAAAAAACCGTAACGAATCATTTTTTGAGAGACATTAATTCGAGTGTTGACCTTTAAGACTCATTTAAGAAATTCAGTTTTGATAGATGATAGCGATCTGAGAATATTTCTATTTAAAAAAGAAAATTATAAGTGAACAAACATGTGAACGAGAAATTGACAAATTATGTTTTCATCGTTTAGCTTTTGGATACTGGAGAAGATTGAAAAGAAAAATAATAAAATAAAATTATCGATACACTGGTTCAAATGTGAAGGGTTTGCTTGCACTATCATAATTCCGTTAAATAGTTATGGATTTTTTCATCATTATTTATTAAAAATCTGTCATTATATATAATTAGTGATGAATTAGAAATAATATGTATTTCATTACTAATATGGTGATCATTATTTTTCTAGCAATTGATTTTTTTTCGTCACTAAATTATTGAATTTTCATCACTAAATCAATCTAAAATAGTCCTCTATAATGTCTTATATCGGTCATCATAACGTCGTTGTTTCCATTGACATCCGTCGCTAATTAGCGATGGATACGTTGTCGCTAATATCCTTGCAATGTCGTCACTAAATCTATTGCTATTTTTTGATTGTATATGTCTCCGTCACTAATTACTCGCGCTATTCCGTCGCTAAATCTGTTGCTAATTTTATTTTTATTTAAAAAATCAATAGTCGTATATTGTTAATTGTAATAACAAACATATAAACAACACGTTATTAAGACATGATATATTATTTAATAAAATTAAAATATTATAAATTAAAATAAAATAAATATATAAATGCATTAAGGTGTACAAGAACATTAAAAAATTTAAAAAAAGAAAGAAAGAAAGATATATAGTCCTCATTAGCAACATTTCTTGCATCATCTTTCGGTTGCTAGATGCTAAAAGACTTGTTATCTCCTAGGTTATGGAAGGGTAAGAAGGAAAGACGTTAGTTTGTTGGAGGTTCTCTAATAGGCCCATCACTCTTTGCAACCGAGTTTATATGTTGATAATTAACTTGACTCCCTTGTTGCTAGACAATAACCTCCAACTCCTTGATCTTATCTTCATAATAGGCGAAACATCCCATATATTACCATTAGGATACCGTGAAGGGTAGAGAAGGAGCTGGTGCAAGAATGTGAGTAGCACTAAGATGCATAACTTATAATACCGTACACGCTATGTTTCTTCTCTCTTTCAACAATATCCAAATATATCTTGAACATGTTAATATCCGAAGAAGATGAATCACTCTCACATCACTCCTTAATAGTTGCTTCTTGCATTGATCGCATGTGCTCCAATGTCATTAAAATAATTATAATATTAAATTTTAAATATATATTTTAAATTATATTGGTAGATGTATATATATATTAAAAAATATAAAATTTTACCATTACTGTATCGTGATCGCCTATCGACGAATGTCTCATCCTTCCACTTACGAGTGGTCATAAATAGCTCATAAGAAATTAGGTTACGACTCAATTTATTATGCTAAAAAAATAAAAAAATAATATGAGATGAAATAAATACAAAAATTAATTTATAACGGAATGGATAATATAGGATTTACCAAACGCTCGATCTGTTTGATCAAAGAGATAGACCCTTTAATATGCTTAGATGGGCCAACATCGACACCATCTATTTTTGATAGGCGAGTTCCAAGATGTCTACTAAAATCGGACCCGATACTCAAGAGTGGCCTAATCCCAATGTTATGCTTTATATTTAACAAACACAAGTATGTTACTATTATGTTTCCCCTTGTTAAGCATGTTGTTGTATCGTCTCTGTGCCAAACTCTCTCACGCATCCTTAATTAAAAAGATTATAATTAATTAAAAATTTTAGTCTAATTCAACCAACTAAGCAAAATTAATCTAATTAATTAACTAAATATAAATAAAATTAACTTATATAATTAAAAATCAATTCCAATTAAATTTAAATAGAATTAATTAACTACGTAACCTAACAATTAACAAAATGTAATAATTTAATAAATTAATCAACAAATTAACTTAATAGTAAAAGAAACTAAAAATTTAACCAATAAATCAACAAAATAACAATTAAATATATACGTAATTATAAATTAAGCAATTAAACTTAAAATTAACTTAATAATTACAGCAAATTACTAAGAAAATTAAAAAGAGAAAGACCTTACCTAATTTGGGTGGAATTGGGCTAAGAGAAGGGAAGGAAACATAAGTTTTTTTTTTTTTTTTTTTTTTTTTGGAGAAAAAACATTAGAGTGGGTTTGGATCAATTGATAGTAGAAGAGTGGAGTTTGGTGGTGGTTTGGAGGGGGGTGACTAGCGATTGTCGGCTAAAAAGGAAAGGGACCAAAAAATAAGGGAGGAAGAATAACAAAATAGGTCTAATTAGAGAATAGAAAATAGTGACGGATGTTGTCCTCTTGTTGATCCGTCGCTATTTAGCGATGGACATAAGTGTTTGTTGCTAATCTATCACAAATTGGACGATTTTGTCTTTCAAAAAGTCCTCCTAATTTTGCCTAAATTCTCACCATAAAGATAGATTTTCCCATCACTAAATTACAAGGAAAGTATCCTTTAATGATGGAATATCCATTGTTAAATCTTGATATTGAAAATAGTGACGGATTTGCTATTTTGTCTCTATTGTTCTAGCAAATCCATTGCTAAATCATCTTTAAATTTCTAAGGTCGATTTTACCGTTAAATTTAGCTATGAATTAGTATAAGTGCTAATAAACTAAATTTCATTCCATCTTTATTCCATCGTTGATTCAAAGAGTTACTATTCTGTCATTATTTGCTTTCTATTTAGTGACAAACATCTATCCATCGTTAATTTTCATTACTATTTAGCAAAATTTTGGTAGTCTTAAATTTCAAATAAAAAGATATATAATATCATTGTGTAAAGTTTTGTCCGAATATATCCTTACTATTTAAAAGAAGAAAAAAAAATGTTACTATTTTATGCATTATTGTAACTAGTGACATTCTTTTATTTAGTTCCAATGAATTTTGGCAAAAAATAACTTAATGTTGATTGATATACAAGTTATCTTGAGAGTTCACCTTACTTGTCGAATAGAAAAACAGAAAAAAAAATATTGATAATTTGGTAATTTTTCTTTTTTTTTTTTTAATTCTTAAACACAATGCTAGAGAAGTGAAAATCCAACTCACCAAAATTATTGCAATAATCTAAAAAAATCCAAGGAAAAAACTTATCACTTAAAGCTTATTCCAAAGCATAGAAACCTAACAATTTAATAATTATGTCTAATTGTTAAATAAAATTTATGCTTTTTTTCTAATAA